CGCAGGGAAGACTTAGATACAAGACCTGACCTGACCGAGACTCTTACAGGTGACTGTAGTGAATATGGTGAAGGCATAGTCTTACCCCATCAGTAATGGTGGAAGGTCGAGGTTCCAAGGGTTCTATCACATAGTACAAGATAGCGAAACAGAGTGCTAGAATACTAATGACTAGCCCAATCAATGTTTCAACGCAGACCAAACATACATCATGCTCATCACAAGGTGTGAAGGGAGCCTGGCGCTATACACAGGGAAGCAGCGCCAGGTCCAGACATACACAGACGGAGAGGAGGGGATCAGATGAAGAGGAAGGGGGGAGATGGGAAAGTCGTCAACACCAAGTCTCGTTACGAGTCCCAAATAATCCCTCTTCGAAATGTCTGAAGTCCAATGTCGAGTCTGGATCCGAATGTCACCAAGCTCTCTCTCTCTCTCTCTCGCTCGTAGTCTGCTGATGCAGTGAAGTCAGATAGTGAGAGGGTGAGAAGGAGATGGTGGACTGAGGAAGAACAAGAACTCTCTCTCTCTCACGAGCCAGGTACTAACCTGTGAAGTTGGCGCTGTGATGCAGGTACCTCGAAGACGAAGCTGGAGCAACGGCGCTGCAGGTAAGTATCCCTGGCCTCCGCCCAATCTCTCTCTCTCTATAGTACTATTCTAGCTATGGCGCCCAGCGCTGAAGACTACACCTAACGCTACTAGCGCCCAGCGCTGAAGACTACCGCTAACGCTACCACTACTCCTGCACCGCTCCTCCAGAGTGCTGCTGCCAAATCCTGAAGACTACTGACTGCCTCCTGCCTACCCGTGAAGTGCATGGGAAGTCCCTATGTACTACCTCGGCCTGCCTCCTGACTGCCTCCGACTGCCTGCAGTTGCAGGGCGGGCAGCCCAGGAGGCTGCTGTTGCCAATGCCGAACTGAGCCAGGGGGCTGGCGCTGCGGCTGTCGTGGGAACAGGCCAAAAATAGCCTGTTCCCAAAACCCTGGTTCAGTGCCTGAGTTTCAGGGCAGGTCCGTCTGATGACAGACCGAAAATGGCCCTTCGTTTCAGGCTAAAAAGGCTACTGCCATTTTTAGTCTGAAGC